CATGGAAAACGCTCGGAAGGGAAGCATAGTGTCACGAGCCAACAGTATCGGCTCCACCAGCGCATCTTCCGTCCCCAACACAGGTGGGCCCGCGGGGTTTCTCCTCTGCGACCGTGGGTCTTCCTGCTCGCCGGGCTGCCCAGCACGTAGCGGGGCTTCCAGCTCTCACCCCTGTGCCGAGGGTGCAAGCGCGGCTGCCTCTCTTGCCGGCTGGGCAGGATTCCCACCCCTAGGAGGGAGGGAAGGTGGTGGGGAACAGCACCCCGGGGCGTTGTGGTTTCCAGCAGCGTTTGGAGTAGGGAATCGGTCGGGTTCTGACGCCTTCCCAAGGGAGCTGCAGGCGTCTTCCTCCTGCCCAGCTCCAAGAAGGAAAGGGAGGGGGGTTGGCAGGGCCCCTTGGAGCGTTTGTCCTTGGCCCGGGCTGTTGGAGCTGACTGCCGCCCTGGGGGCACGGGGCCGTCCTGGGCCTGGCCGCAGCCCGTAGGGCAGCAGGAGAAGGGAGTCGAGCTGGTACGCCGAGCTGTCGCCCCCTCCACGCGCCTCTGCCCCCCGTGCTTTGGGAGGTCGCCACTCAGGCTTCTCCACACTCACGTGGGTTCTCTCCACGCAGATGATGAGGACAGCGATTATCACCAGGAGCCTTACAAGGAGTCGTACAAGGACCGGCGCAGGCGGGCGCACACCCAGGCGGAGCAGAAGAGGCGAGATGCCATCAAGGTAACGCGAGAGGCTGCGTGTGCTGTCAGAGCGCAGCGACTCGCTGGTTCCCGGGGCCCTGCGGCACCCAGCACCCTGCTGTTTCCAGCACCCTCCCCTTTTTCTTGCTGCTGCATCTGCCCTCCCCAGACACAAGTGTGCTGGGAGCCACCTTGGCTCTGGCTGGCTGCGTGGTGGGGGCTGGGATTTGACACCTTTTGAAACAACCAGTCTCACACTGCTGAGCTCCAAATAACGTGCGCTGTGGCTCTGCTTCCCCACAGAAAGGCTACGATGACTTGCAGGCCATCGTTCCCACCTGTGAGCAGCAGGATTTCTTCATAGGCTCCCAGAAGCTGAGCAAGGCCATCGTCCTCCAGAAAAGTGAGTCTTGAGGGTGGGAAGAGGGAAGGGGGGTGCTATCAACCCCCCAAAACGCCTCGCTAGAGCCATGCAGCGTGGGGGTTCAGCACTTTGGGACCTTCTGGTGTGATGATGCTCTGGGGAAGCCCAGGTGCCAGCCACCTCCACCCACCCACCTCCCTGAGGTGAATCAGGGCAGCCGGGAGCTGATGCTGCCCAGGCTCAGGCACCTTCTGTGGGGATCTCGGGGGCTTGTGTGTGCTCTCGAATCCTCACTCTGTATTTCCGTGCTCAGCCATCGACTACATCCAGTTCCTGCACAAGGAAAAGAAGAAGCAAGAGGAGGAAGTTTCTACCCTCAGGAAAGACGTGATGGCCTTGAAGATCATGAAAGTGTAAGGGAAGAGCTGTTGGTTGCTGCCCTCTTCTTCCTGCTGTTTTCCCCCCCTCCCTTTCACGGCTCCGTGGGTGCGCTCAGTGCTTTGCAGACAGCCTGGCACCCGGAGTACCAAGCCTGTCCCTGCTTGCTGTCAACGTTTCCCCTCCTGCGGCCCGTTAGCGTGGGTCTGTCTTGGGTCAGTTGGTGGAGTTTAGTGTCAAGGTGGATCTGAGTCAGAAAATGAATGTGCTCCCGGTGTCAGGAGGGGCTGCAGCTTCCCAGTGTTTATTTACTTGTAGGATCGTCCGCAAACTCTTGGTCCTCCCCATCCCTGCAGCGGTTCTCAGCGGGCAGCAACAGGCAGTGAGCTGTGCCCCCGCAGCTGAGCAGAAGCTGGGGGTGGGAGGCCTCAGTCCGCTGCTGAACGTGGGGCGCTTGGTCTGTTTCAGGAACTACGAGCAGATTGTGAAAGCTCATCAGGACAACCCAAATGAGGGGAAGGACCAGGTGTCTGACGAGGTGAAGTTCAATGTTTTCCGAGGCATTATGGATTCCCTGTTCCAGTCCTTTAACACCTCCATCTCAGTAACGAATTTTCAGGAGCTCTCGGCTTGCGTCTTCAGCTGGATTGAGGAGCACTGCAAGCCCCAGGTACGCGGGAGCTGCGGGTGGGCTGTTGCGATGACGGAGGGAAACGGGGCAGAGACCATTGTGCACGTCTGCACCCAGCTGGAGTGCAGGGCTGGGTGCGGCTGTCCCCTCTCCTGGGGTTTCCGAAAGGGCGGCATGTGACCGGTGCTGGACTGGGGCAGGGGGGGCACCCGGGAGACTGGGCCGGCGCTCCAGCCTCTCCCGCTCCAGCTGCTGGACTGGTTTGGTGCTGAAAGCCGGCCAGGGTGAAACAGAGTTGAGAAGGAGAGTCCTGCTTGGTCCCCGTCACTCCCTCGGGACACCTAAAGGTTTTCTGGGAATTAAGAAACCTCCGAGCGGGGCAGGCCCTCGGGCAGGGCCGGGTCCCTGCCCTGCTGTGGCTGCCTGAGACCCTGTGGCCCAGGGACAGGTGGGAGCGTTTCCCGTACAGGTGCGGCGGTGCTTGGCACCGCGTGTGCCAGCTCCAGTGCCGTGAGCGGGGGAGATGGCCGCGGCACGTGCCCCAGGCTCTTGCGGGAGTCACTCGCCAGGGACAGGCCATTCCTCCACTGGAACAACTGACCGTGTCTCCTCTCTGCCCCAGACGCTGCGGGACATTGTGATCGGGGTCCTGTACCAACTGAAGAGTCCGCTCTACTGAGCCTTCCTGCTGCAGCGCCAGCGGCTCCGGGGCTGCCGCCGCCTCTGCACCTGCGGGGACGGGGCATCTCCTGCCCGGGGGCCTGGGTGATGGGCGCCAGGAAGGGCTGGGCCATCTCCCTCGCGGCTGTTCTTAAAGCTTCTCTGGATTATTTATTGCATTAACTACAAAACCAAAATGAGGCTGTGCAGACACCTCTGCTCCACAGGTACTGTCACAGTCAATGTTACCAAATATCTGTAGGGACTTAGCAAAGGTGGGGGGAAAAATGTGTATTGAGCAGAGGTCGTTTAAGGTGCCAGAGAGTCTTTAGCTCAGGCAGGTGTGGTGGGGTTTGCCTGTGCCACCGACTCTCCACTGTGGAGCGGATCTGCTCTGTAACCTCAGCCCTCCGATACAACCCCTTCTGATCCTGGGGGAGAGGGAATGAAGCAAGAATGCATGCTAAAAGCTGTTGGTTTCTGTTAAAACAGACTAGGAATAGGCTTCTCCCATAACCGTGGGCTTTCCCGTACCTCCCTCTGAAGCAGCTCTTACGGGGCGGGTTTTTTTGAGTTGTGTAGATGCTTTGGGGAAGCCTGGCAGAGCTGGCTGAAGGATGAGCCCGTC